GTTTCTAGTAGAGTTCACGCTCCTATCATACACTAAACCACCACTGATCTGACAGGAAGCAGAGCTTAGGCAGTGATGTGAGCAATGGGGAGCAGCTATAAATACAGAGCTTTCCCTCCCTCACCCACTGCTCTGGGTCCCTAACAGGCCACAGACCAGACCTACCCTGGGAGGTGGGGACTGCAGCTTCAGAAGGGTAAGCAATTCTGGACTGTTTCTTTTTTGGGTGAGGGAAGGAAGTGGCTGGGATTAGAGTGTTGTAATACTGGACAGTGATGTGTGCAGCAAAAGCCACACTTCATAGGAGGCTAGGTGACCAGCTGAAAATGCCAAGGGCTTAAAAAAAAAAAAAAAAGAAAGAAAATGCCAAGGGCTTATTGTTAGTGGAAGAGTCTGTACAGCACACCATGGGAAATCATAAGGCCTAGTTGAGTCCTGGAAATAAATCAACAGTAGTTTTCATTTTCACTGTTACTGTTTCTAGACAAGATGGATATTGTGGCTACTAGATCTAATGTAGGACTGAACAAGCAATGGACTGCTGGTGATTTCTAATCAATTGAATTGGTATCTTAGTGGTTGTTCAGATTTATAATGAAAAGAAAGGAGGTGGGGTAGCATTTGTGAATCTAGAATAATCTTCTGGGAGATGGCTATTACACCAGTCTTTGTGTCTAAACATGGCTATGTTTATTTTTTAACTTGAAAAGCATGTATATGTGTAACTAATCTAGGCATATCAACTCCCTTTTTGGTGTCACTTTTGTTTTAATATTAAACTTGGTGGACAAAAAGTGCCACAATAGTTCTGAATTAAAGTTTGAAGAATTAGCCTTATTTTAATGTAGTGAACAACAACTCTGGTATCTGACTTTAGAAAACTCAAATATAGTTTATGTATTAAGTGCATTGATAGTTTTATTATTTTGAATTTGGGTGTGATGTTGAAAAGGCAAAATCAAAAATAGTTTTAGAAAAAATATGTAAAAAGTATCTAAAAATAGGATATGATCTGATGACAAAAGGAGTCTCTGGGCAAAAATAGCTTAGCTTACAAGAATTCTCTTTTTACTTTTGTTTTATATTATTCATACACAGATTGCTCTAAGTTTTTTTTTTTTTGAGATAGACTCTCACTTTGTTACCTTTGATAGAGTGCTGTGGCATCACAGCTCACAGTAACCTCAAACTCTTGGGCTCAAAAGATTCTCTTGCCTCAGCTTTCCAAGTAGCTAGGACTATAGTTGCCCACTACAACACCCAGCTAGTTTTTCTATTTTTAGTAGAGACAGGGTCTCACTGTTGCTCATTCTGGTCTTGAACTCCTGAGCTCAGGCAATCTACCTGCTTTGGCCTCCCAGAGTGCTAGGATTACAAGTGTGAGCCACCGTGCCCAGCATAATTGCAGTAACTTATTAATATATTTTCATATGCATGGGTTTAGGCTATGTACCTATATTTAATAAATTTAAAGCTTATATTTACACCTTTAAAATATAATTTGTTAGTATATTAAATAAAAAGTACATATCATGTTAAATTTACCATCTGAATAAGCAATTTTATTAATGAACAGAAAACCACATCCATTATATTCTAGTTACATATTTGTAACTCTGTAATTGTTTAGCTATTTTTCTCCATGAGCACTTCAGATTATTTTAATAATTTTAAAGAGGCAGAAATAAAGAATATCCAAAGTCATTTTCAGAGTTTTGTTAATTGACTGGCATTCTAAGAAATAAGTGTAAAAATTTTAGTGACCAGTGTTTTATATATGATTCCTATTTAAAAACTGTCTAGTCCTTAGCCAGGCATTGTGGCGGGTGCCTATAGTCCCAGCTATTTGGGAAGCTGAGGCAAGAAAATCACTTAAGCCCAAGAGTTTGAGGTTGCTGTGAGCTCTGATGCCATGGCACTCTACCAAGGGTGACATAGTGAGACTCTGTCTCAAAAATAAATAAATAAATAAAAATAAAAATAATAAATAATCAACTTAACACTTAAGATTCCTTCCTCTACCTCTGGGCTGTTGAGGTTAAAATTACTTACTCAAACCTTCTTACTCTTTGGGTAAAAACTAACCAGCGTACTTTCCCCCAATTTGCACAACATTAACATAGCATAATGTAAGCGATAGCACTAACTTAGCAGGAGCTCGTATTTTTTACACAGACATCTTCAGACCTATGCAAGCTAGGACACCCTACCCCAAGGCATACAAGTTTCTTTTCAACTAGACTGAGCTCTTAAAAGTTAGTGTCCTTTGGCTTTATATCCCATCTAGGCCTTATAAATACTAGGCATTCAATAATTATTGAATTAAAACTGCATTTGCCTATAAGCTCATCAGTAAATGAAATCTGGTTTCATTTCAGGTAGCACTTTTTTTTGAGACAGAGTCTCATTTTATCGCCCAGAGTGCCAAGGCATCATAGCTTACAGCAACCTCAAACTCTTGGGCTCAAGCAATACTCAGCCTCCTAAGTAGGTGGGACTACAGGCACCTACCACAACGCCCAGCTATGTTTTAGAGATGGGGTCTCACTCTTGCTAGGCTGGTCTCAAACCCGTAAGTTAAGGCAATCCACCCGCCTCAGCCTCCCAAGTGCTAGGACTACAGTTGTGAGCCACAGTGCCCAGCCCCAGCACTTCTGCTTTAACGTAATGCTCAAAAACATCAAGACCTACAACAGGATGGTTATTGGGAGAACAGTGAACATGCCAATGTTGTTGTTGCTGAGCCACATTTTACAAGAAACCAAAGAAAATCAAGGGTAATGAGAATGGAGGTTCTTCAACATCATCTTCAACTAGCTGCCATGGGATTCCTCATTATTGCACCACAATTCTTTCTCCCCACTCCTCTTAAGTATATGAATTAGAAAGAAAAAAGGAAATAAAATAATTCTCCTTGTCGGCCTGGTGCCCGTAGTTCAGTGATTAGGGTGCAGGCCACAAGCACCGGGGCTGGTGGGTTTGAACCCAGCCGGGGCCAGCTAAACAACAATGACAACTGCAACAAATAAAATAGCCAGGCGTTGTGGTGGGCACCTGTAGTCCCAGCTACTTGGGAGGCTGAGG